ACCTTTCGGAAGTGCACGACCAAAATACTTACAAAAAGACTTGCAGAAATTCTCTCTAAAAAAAATATACTTAGAGGTCCCAACTTCACAGATCTTCCAGGTAACTCTACAGAAGAGCCGGTACATATTATTAATACAATTATGGAGGATGCAAAAGATAACAATAAGGAACTGTGGATTGTACTACAAGATATAAAGAAAGTATTTGATTCAATATCACTCAAAGCTTTACAAAAAGTATTTAAAAGAATCAAGCTACCCAAGGTTACAATTAAACTTCTATTAAATCTTTTTTTAAACAAACAATCCAGAATCATTACAGATCTGGGCCCAACAAAATTCTTTGAAATCCAAGAAGGGATTGAACAAGGGGAAGTAATTTCACCTTTAATCTGGAGGATATTTTATAATCCTCTTCTAGAAAGAATCTAAGAAGATGCTAGTTTAGGCTATACTATAGACTGCAGTAATTACTTCAATTTAAGCTTAAACTATGCAAACAAAAGTTCATGGAGACAAGCAGTTGTAGCCTTTGCAGATAATACTACATGGGTTGCAAAAAGTAAAGAACAGATGGAAGAAACACTCACAATTGCCAAAGAATTCTTTAGAATAAACAACATACAGATTAATGGGAAGAAGACCAAGTTAATCATGATAAATGTAGAAGACAGAAACGAAGTTAAGAAGATTTTCTTTGGCAATGAATGAATCCAGGAAGAAAAAGAGATGAAGATCTTAAGATTTTTAGAAATATGGCTAAATAGTAAAATGAAAAAGGTAGCCATTAAAACTAAAATGAAAAGGATTATATAGTCAATAGTCAGAAACCTTTTCACAAAAAAAAATAACAATTAGCCAAGTATTCTATATAAACAATATATGCATAATTTTTAAGTTGTGCTATATATTGCAAACATCAAAAATAAGTAAGACAATGATTGACAATTTGCATAATCCAATAATCAAACTTGCAAAAAACAAAATGAAAATTGTGGTATCAGCAAGAAATAGTATAATACACTACAGAAGTATAGGTAATTGCAAATCTCTGTGGGACCAGCTCTTACTTAAACAGGTTACAAGTTTGAACAACTGTCTTAACTTGATTAGACCAGAAGAAGTTCTGACAAAACTGAGAATTAAAGAAGATCTTATTCTGGTTGGTGTATCGGAAAACAATTGGCACAAAGAAATCCTTAAAGCATATATGAAAATTTAAAAAAACAATTTAGCATGTCTAATGATACTGAGAGCAAGAGAGTTAAACCTTACCTTCCAATTTAATTCTCCTAAACTACCAGAATATTTATTGAACTGAAGACTTGGTAGTATCCTAGGATTTTACTTTACAGTATTAGCAGCTCATTGTTTGAAAGGGCTAGGATTGGTATTTATAGACCAACTTCTGAACCAAGATGGAGACCAAATGATAACATGACAACAACTCAAGTTCTTTAGGAAGGGTTTAAGCAAAGACAGAGTTGTGAAATAGTTCAAAAGTTAGAAGAATTAATGCTAATAAGCTTACAAGGTAGACAAGTTAAAACCCTTTATAAAACTAAAAGCAGTAATAAATAAGTTTTAAAGACTCGATTAGCAAGATTATCCTCAGACAATAGGACCAAAGAATGAGTAGTCATTAACATAGCAATAAATCAAGAGAATCCAAAACCAGTAATTGCAAAGATAGTTTCAAAAACTTCCAAGAAGATACTAGTTAAACATTGGAAGATATCTGACGAACATAACACTAGTAACCTTATATTAAAGAAATGTTCTGGCTATATACTTAACCAGAACAAAGCATTTGAATAATGTGAGAAACTCTACTATGGAAGTGAAATCCAAAGGTCTCTTTCAGGTTTTATTAGAAGAAGAGGAAATAAATGGAGATTGGAAATCCTATTAGATGCAATCGAGTTATATCAAGGTGGAAAAAAAGTAAAAATAACAAAAGAGGAATTACAAGTTATAGGAGTTTTAAGTTACAATTTAGACATAGAGATGATTCAAAAGCAAGATATATCTACTAAGCTTAGAGGCAATCTAATAGAATAGAACCAAAACAATTTTGTACTCATGCAAAGTAAACTGATTTTCTATACGGATAGCTCACTTTACTTAGCCAAGAGCAAGAAAGAAGGCCCTAATCATATGGGAATAGGGATATTGCAAACAGATCAAGAAGAACAGGAAGTAATCAAAGAAAGTTTCGCAAAGATCTAAAATTGGCCATCATCAACTAAACCAGAATTGTTAGCAATTTGGTTAGCGATATTAGCAACACCAAATAGAGGGATAGCTAAAATTTACACAGATAGTGTAGTAGCGATTGCAAGTATAGAGAAAGGAAAAAATATTATAACAAACAAGCAATGGTTAAAACTAAAGAATCACGATTTAGTCTGTAATATTATAGAGTTAGTTAAAGTAAAAGAGATTCAATTAGAGTCAGTTAAGGTAAAGAGTCATAGTAACAATAGATGAAATGATAGAGCAGATATTTTAGCTAAAAAAGGTGTTATATTAGAAAATAGAGATAGTATCATTTTTAACCCCTACTTAGATCTAATATTTCACTTTTCTGAGATGAGATGTTCGTCAAACATCTAGTGAAAGAAATAACCAAGATACTTCTCAACTTCAAGATTGGTACAGACTGGAAAGAATCGAAAGCAATCCAAAAAGTTGAACCAGAAGAAGCCTATAAAGAAAACAACTGGTCTTATTTATGAAAAAAAATTGAGAAAAGCAACGGTATTAGATGTACAACAACTAAGAAAAGCAAACGTCTAGAAACCTTGTTCAAGTATGCCAATAAGATGCTTTCTGTACTTGGTATATTAACACAGAGACGTCCAGATTTATATCAAGATCCAAGTTGTATTGTTTATAAAGAAAAGAAGGAGGAGAATCAAAATTACTTAACATGTTACAAAGAACAAAAGACGAATTGGAAGACCGCTGAAGACCTTGCAGCAAAGCTAGCCTAGGCAGCCTTATCAAAAAAAATAAAAAGAAAAACAAACAAAGTTCTTCTAGAAAAATGCTCTGAGAAGAATCTATAGAAGAATTCCACGAAATAAGATCCAAGGCAATTAAGGGTCTAGTTCAAGAAAGAATGATAGAAAAGATACAGGAATCTTTACAATCAAGTAAAGAAGCTAAAACATATATCGAACTAGCTTTAGAAATAATTTGGAATTGCTTTCACGAAAATATTTGGAAAGAAAGATACGAACTTCTTCACAAATAGGAAATTAGTAGAAGAATCACAACCAAAGATAAAAAATAAGGAAACAAGATTTCAACTGAAGAAAGAAAAGCAAATCCAGAATATGATGAATTAAGATCCAAAGAAGGGGTTTAAAACAATTTAGTAGATTAGATAAAATAGATAAAAAGGAGAAAAAGAAAAAAAAAGAGGAGGGTTTAAAAAAGATAGAAAACCATTAGATAAATAGTTTTAGAAACTTAATTTAAAATAGCTGCAAGTCTTTTGGTATGTTTGCATAGCTAACCTGGTATTAGCCTTCTGGTCTTGAAATCATTTTTTCAGATCAGTGCAGCAGACTGCTTCTGGGCACCCACGAGGTAGCCAGGGGATGTCAGGCCGAAATATTAAGCTCAACATTATGTAATAATAATTTTAATAAAGGATCACTGGCAAGGTTGTCAAAGATTAAAAAAAAAAAAAAAAAAAAAAAAAAAAAGATATTAAACTTTGATTTATTTTTAGATTTTTCCGATTTTAATATTAAAATTTTAAATGACTATAACTTTAAAATTTACTAATTGATTATACAGTATTTTTGTTATTAAATAAAAAAAGCTTTGGCTTTAAAAAATATATCTAATTAATCTAAAAACTTATTTTTTAAAAAAAGATCAAATTTCTTGGTTTTTACTTTTAACGGCCCATATGTATGTTTAGGTAAAAAAAATTCAAGTGACATTAAATAAAAACACATCTTCCCCAGTATCGCCAACAAAATTTTTACTATCACGTGATGTCCGACAAAATTCTTTAAGTTCGTTTATGTTAGGGTTAGGGCCTATTTAGTGTTAGAGTTAAGGGTTCTAACAGTAAAATCGCTCAAGAAAAACTTTTTATTAATGCGTAGGAGGTGGTTTCCTATGCTGATTTTGAGATACAAGCGATTTTTGACAAAACGAACGTTTGTTTTGAGTTTTTCTGATCGCGTGACGTTACACCAAATTGAGATTCATTATTGGCTCATTTTCGTCGATCATCACGTGATGGTAAAAATTACATAGAAATTTTGTTGGCGATCCTGGGGTAGATGGCCTCTTAAATTGGATAAACATATTACCATTGTCCAATAGAATTGCACATAAACATGGATGTTACACTGAAGGATCTGCAAACTCAAATTTGCAATACATATAAACCCAAAATAAGATATTTTAATATAAAGGTAAGAAGTACCACCCATTATCGATAAGGTTACCCTTATTCAAATGAGTAAGCAACAACAGTTTACAAGACTTCCGACCGAGAGCGATTCGTCTGTCTCTCAAACGCCTGCTATACCAATGCAAGCCATCACACCTCAAGCTCAAGCTCCTAGATTGAGTCTAAACGCTAGTGTTGACGCACAACCTCACATTGTTCATTTCACCTCGTTATCTCCGATTCATAGAACCTCGATTTCTGGCGTTGTCTTAGAAGAAGAATGGCCTCTTACAGAAATTCCACAAGAATTGAGAGAAGCAGGTGGTACCTATGAATCATCCTCCGCGAATAATACCGAAGCAAATTCAATGCGTACGGATTGGAAAAGGAGCTTATTTTTGTTACTGGAAGATCCTTCCTCAAGTAAAGCCGCGTTTATGGTCAACGTTTTTGTCTCATTTTCTATCATATTAAGTGCTGTGTTGACCACTGTTGAGACAATACCTTCATTTAGGTTAACATCTAGCTCCGTTTGGTAAGTCCTAAAAACGATATAACCTATATTAAATATTTTTTATTTTTTCTGAATTTATCAATGAAATTCATTAGATGCTGTATTATCTTAGGTTCAATTTTGAAACCACAGTAGTATTTATATTTACTATTGAATATATATTACGATTAATAGCACATTCCGATTCGTTTAAGCAATTATGGAAATTTGTAAAAGGTAGGGATTTCATTTAATAATTTATATTTCATTCATGTAAATATACAAGATCTCGGGCGAGCGCATTTTGAAAATTTTCAGAATGATTTCGTTTTTTCAACCCCGTATCGATATCACCGTCTTCTTTGTGGAAAATAGCTCCTCTTGCTGTCATAGATTTCATTGCAATTGCCCCGTACTATGTAGAATTGGCTTTTCATCATGACACGGTAAAAATACGTGCAATACAAAGTTTTATATACCTATATTTATTTATTTATTTATTAATTTACTTCTTAATTATCTTTTTTAGACCTACGATTTTCGTTTTACCATTCTTCGCTTGTTCCGCCTCCTTCGTGTCTTTAAAGCATTCAAATATTCTTCGACGATTATAATGACTATTGAAGTAATGATTATCGCTGTCAAAAGAAGTATGGACGCCCTAGGTGCATTATTCTTCTTCATGGCCACGAGTATTGTGCTATTTTCTACCTTGTTGTATTTCGCCGAACGTGGTAAGCCTATTATTATTATTATCATTAATTGTTATATAGATCAATAATATAATATTTTATTTAATATGTAATTTTTATATTATTTTTTTTCGTCAGGTACATGGGATCAAGAGAAACAACAATTTGTTAATAGTAAAGGATTACCTAGGTACATATTACCATCTGAATTGTAGTTTTACAATTGATATTGATATGTAATCAAGTGCTAATTATTTGGCATATATTAGCTCTTTTGATAGTATTCCTTCAGCATTTTGGTTTGTCATGGTAACTATAACCACTACAGGTTATGGTATGTTTGTTTAGTTTAAATCTGTTGTGTTTGTTGCGTTTCAGTTAATGCCTTAATTTTAATATTAAATTTCTCTTTTTGATAGGTGATATGGTTCCCACAACATTTGTTGGAAAAGTGATAGCTTTCCCCGCTATGATGTGCGGCATCCTGGTGAGATTTTTAAATATATTAGGAAAACAGAAACTGTTGTAAGTCCGGAGCAACTAGTCAATTATTTGAAATGTAGATCACGTGGTTGGTCAGACGGACAAGGGTTGTGATTATTACTGGTATAATATAATATAATGTTCATAATTCCAAGTTGGGGTCTTTGCCTTGAAAATCACCTTACGACATTTTCCGATCGGGCTAATTCGGACAAAACACCAAAACATCACATTTGACCTTTATTGATTCTATAGTTTATTCAATAAACTATCTAATCAATAAAGGTCAAATGTGATTCGTTTTGGTCTGTTTTGTCCGGATTAGCCCGAACGGAAAATGTCGTAAGGTGATTATTTTTGAATCCGGACCAATTTTATATACAAGTCACTCTCGTTATAGTGAACTCGCGTTATAGTATAGTGAAGATAAATCCCAAACCAGTCTATATAAAAATCTTTTCGATATGGTGAATTTACTAATAACCTCTCGATATAATGAACTTTTTAAAAATTTTTACTATGGAACGTACTTCACTATAACGAGAGTGACTTGTATATGACGTAATAACATTTTGGTCTGGATTCAAAAATAATCACCCACATATGTAGCAATTTGATTAATTGCATTAATTATCTGGTATTTATTCCTAGTTTGTGTAATACCGGTATAATACCAGTATTATGCCGGTGGTATAATACAATATAGTATAATATCGCAACCCTAGAGTATATCGTCCGATCACGTGACACTGCTGTATCCGAAAATGTAAGCCTCCACTACGCTCCGGACAATTGTGATTTCTTTGAATATATTAATATTCTTCATTATCTAATAAACTCTGTTTGATATTATGCAGCTTATAGCGTTACCGTCCATAATTGTTGGAAAAAATTTTACTTTAGTATGGGAAGCAATGCGACAATACCGTCGCTCTAATGCCAATGCGCGAGTGAGTTCTTTTTATAAAAAAAAAAAAATTGTGGCTTCCAATTAATTCTTATACATTTTTTTTCATAAAGGATCAAACAAACAATGATGGTACAAATAATGAGAGTGAATGTACAACTGGCAAGTAATAAAAATGCTTATGTATGATAATAAACAATGTATTTATATTTTTCATTTAATTTGTCTAGGTGCAGATTTGCGAACTAGCTTTGAAAGTACGCACTCATATATATCTAATATGCCTCGTGGTTATGAATCTATGAGTGACGAGCTGGTTGCTAATCAAGATGTGTTACTCGAACAAGTGCGAACTTTATTAAAAATTTCTCAACAAAATCAGGCAGCACTTGAAAGAATCCAACAAACGTTGGAACAAAATGGTATGAAATTCAGTCCAGAAAAAAGGGTTTCATAAAATTATACATCTGCACAGCGGTGCATTCCTATAATCATATGATCGATTTATTTATTATTCGTGGATATTATGTAAATCTTATTACGTTTTGCGCAATGACCTTTCCTTCTAAATTAGAATTAGTTAGCTTTATATTTTTACTATACCTTTGCGCAATTTTTATTACATTTTTATTACATTTTTCTTAGAGATTATTGCATTATTTGTAATTAATATTTTTTTGCATTAATGAAAGATTTATATAAAGGGTTGCTTATTGCGAATCGTAGGGCTTTTATAGAATTTAATAATAAAACGTTTCTATTAAACATACCTGATACTGTAATTGACTTTTACCACAAAAATTCCCTTTTTTTAAAACCTAAATTCCCTAATGCATACGGCCTAAAATCTGTAACAATAGTAAACGTATGTATATGTTGTGCCTCAGATGCATCCTTGCGTCGGATGCAATCCGACGCACATCAGATGCCGATTTTCAGGTGACGCGCGTCACCTGTCGATCGGTCACCTGACGTGCGTCAGCTGTAATCTGACGCAA